TATGGTTCATGGGGTCACGAAGAGTCGGACACGACTTAACGACTGAACAACAACAAAAATGTACAAAGATACAGGCTTGGATCAATCTCTTTTATTACAGTGGCTTTAACCATCAAGTGAAACAATGTGTTGATCTGTTGTGGTGGAATTGCAGAAGAAAGGTGAGGAATTAGTGAAGGGCACCTCTCTCTTACCTGCATAGGGTTTTGTTTTGTTTTTTTAACTTTTCAGGTGATAAGTGCATGTAGGTTGTAAACCAGTATTTAATGGGTTCTTATTATTTCTTATGCTTTTGGGGACATGATATTAATATAACATGAAGTAAGGGTTTATCAAGACTCTTAATCAATAATATCATATCTTGAGCTAAGACCCTTGATCAAAAGGCTAGCCACCTGGTGTAGGGAGTTAGATTAGCATGGTCAGGCATGTTTTCTTTATGCGTGCATGATGGAAACCCTTTGACATGTATACCAGAATCTGAGAAGGTATTTCCTTAAAACAACAGAATTGATCTGTTAAGAGGGAAAGGAATATATTTTTAATCACTCCTAGAAGATGAGCCTCTGTATAGACCTACCTGGGAAAGGTGCTATACACTAGCCAGAATAATCTGGGGAAGATCTGCAGCTGCCTTTGATGAGGACGGGGTTTCCAGCTACCAAAGCAGTGCAAGATTTTTGTCCTGTACTTATCCTCTATTGAATGTTGCCATGTCTTGTTTTGTTGCCTTGTCTGTGGATATTTCTTGTCTATATTTATGCTTTGGTATTAAAGTTATTCTTTTACTGGGTTTTTTTTTTATATATATATGTGCTCAGTGGTTACCGACTCTGCAGTGACTGCTTGGATGAGTCCTTTGCAGTTTTCAAGGCAAGGTGTTTCGGAAGTGGTTTGCCAGTGCCTCCTTCCTAGAACAAAGCCCAGCTGGTGAGCGCAGGGGGCGGGGTTTCGGTTGCTTCGCGCCCTTTTTCGTTGCGGCGGGGGTTTGCGGGTTCCAACACACCCACCCCGACCTTCTTTTCGATGTCCCGTCTCCCACTTTTC